AGCGAGAGAGGGAACACAAGCAGGGGGAGTGGGAAAGGGAGAAGCAGGCCTCCCGCTGAGCAGGGAGCCCGACACAGGGCTCGATCCCAGGACCCTGGGATCATGACCTGAGCGGAAGGCAGACACTTAATGACTGAGCCACCCAGGCGCCCCTATGCAGTGTTTTCTATAGTGGTTTCAGCTAATAAAGGTAGTTGTTATTATTCTGGAATTCACATTGACCCTCATGAAATAGCTATGTGTACAAATAGTAGAACTCTGGCCCATGTAATTTAGTCACGTAAAAGGTCTTTTATCAGTTATTTCCTTTTATAAATAAAACAACCAGAGTCTTAGACCAAAAAGCTCAGATAGCATTCAACATTACTGGTATTGGCTGCTGGAGATAAAGCTGGGAAGCGAAGTGTTTGATTGCTTGTCTAACTTATACCTTCTTAAATTCCTCTATAATGGCCAAATAGGAGATCATTTTAAAATAAGCAGGTAAATGTGCTTAGAGTCAGGTTCAGGGTAGCTTTGGATATAGGAAGTTTCAGAGCAGTAGCACATCTTGCAGATATAAATGCATAGTCCAGGGATCAATCAAAATGCTTCAACTTCTTTTGTTTTAGGGCAGTGTCCCTGAAATGAAGGGAATGAGAATTCTTAGGAAGAGGATCCCTTAAAACAAAGACCTGGGATAAATGAGATACACATATTCTTCTAAGGTGTTAACAAACACACTGCTCCTTGGTTTACTCAATAAACATCAGTGACATGTGGAAGTTTCATTCTTTCAAGTGGGTGGAACAATGTTCAAGAAGGTTAATGAAGTTCATGATAGATTGTCCAAATTCCTGATGTCATAAGAGCCCAAACGCTGTGTAAAATTCTACCAGAATTATAATTTATTTCCATAAGGTTATATGGCATGGCCTATGTCTAAAATTATGAGAACATTTCTTTGCCATAAGGAATCTTTCCTAGAGTACAACAGTACCCTCTAAAATACAGTTATAAAGACATGATTTCAGGGACTTGGCCAAAATTCAAAAGGATAATGCACTGCAATTTGAGAAAATGTGATTATTATTTTTTCTTTAAAAAAAAAAAAGCTTTTCCTTGTCTCACAATAGAATAGTTCCTCTTGACTCCTCCACTCCCTGGTAAATAATTAGAACTCTATCTCAATTTAAAAAGGTTAAAAAAAAGGAAGGAAAGATAAGAAATGACTAAATTAAAGTGGGTGGGTCTACCAAAGTGAAATGTGGCTGAAGAACTAGCAAAGGGAAAGACTGTTGGAATAATTCCAATCCAATCCCCAAAATTTAAAAATCAAACTCCAGTTACCTTTTAAAATCTTTAAATTTTGAGGCTGCTATCAAGAGGCTAAACCAACCAAGGGTTGAATTTGTTCTATGCGGTAACACACTGTTCCTCTAGATTTGCAGTAAGTCTGGTAAGATGTCCCAGGTTAAGTAAATTTAAACTTGACTCATGGAACCACACAAATTTCAGCACAATGTATATGCTTCTAATACTGCAATTCCCAAACTGTGCATGAGGTGCCTTGGTGCCCTTGTACAGCCACCAGAGTGCCCTGAAATATCATTAATTGTTTTTTTTTGTTTTTTTGTTTTTTAAAGATTTTTTTTATTTATTTGAGAGAGAGCACATGAGAGTGGGAAGGGTCAGAGGGAGAAGCAGACCCCTTGCTGAGCAGGGAGCCCGACGTGGGACTCGATCCCGGGACTCCAGGATCATGACCTGAGCCGAAGGCAGTTGCCCAACCAACTGAGTCACCCAGGCGCCCATAAGTCTCTTTTTCAATGACAGCCTAGCTGGATACAGTATTATTGGCTGCATGTTTTTTAAGATTTATTTATTTATCTGAGAGAGTTAGAATGAGAGACAGAGAAAGTACATGAGAGGGGAGAGGGTTAGAGGGAGAAGCAG